AAAACTAGGATGTGACTTGCTCATAGTCTCTAAACCATTAGCACCTATTTCTTAGAAACCTTCTATGAAACTAAATCTCGTGAGCCCTTATCTTTGCTCACAGTGTCTGTGCTACATCTGTTGTCAGTGTGCGAACAATGCTAAGTCCACTCATTGATTATCATAAAGCACATGGCAAAAGAAATGAAGGCTCATGAGCCAATCCTGATAATTGGAGCGAAGAGAAGGAAAATCTAGATCTAGACCAAAACCACCTCAACCGTTTGTATGGCAATTTTAAACACAGAGAAGGGTCCAGAATGATTTGCATTGCAGAGTTAAGAAATGAATTTGCATCTTGTCTTGGCCACTCATAATTATTTCTTTAAAACTGACAAAGAACAGGCAAGATACAGGACAATTAGAGGAAGGAGGGCAAATATGGAATCAATCTTGCTGCAAGAGCCCAGAAATTACTGTGTAATAATGAAACAATTTGAAGCGAGAAAAATCTGAAAACATTTAGAGGGACAGTGCGATCATAAGCAATAAGGAGAAAGATTTGTGAATATCAAACCCTGCCAAGTCCAAAGTCTTCCCCCCAACGAGGATTTCAAAATTATTAGATTAAAATAAATGTTATATAGAAAGCCACCTCGCATTGGGCAAGGCAATTGATCATGAGTGTAGGAAAGAACTACAGCAACCGTTAAATCTAGAAGGGAACATTGAGAGTATGTAGTCTAACCATCCAGTGTAACAGATGAAGGAAAAGAGATCCAGGAGGCTAAGAGGTTCACCCTGGTCCAGCTTGCTTTCCAGCCGCACCTGCACCAAGTCCTTCCTGCTGCACTGCACTCTGCCTGTTCACACACAGGGATAGTGGTCAGTCTTGTTTCCTCAATACTGCCACCCATCTTGTCCCTTCCTTATTATTTTGAAGCCAACGAGATTATAATATACGATTTAATTTATATATACTTTAGTATGTACTTCTAAAAGATGGGTACTTTAAAAAGCATGATCCCAATGCAATTATAACACCTAAGAAAATTAACAATAATTATAATACCATGCAATGCCCATATAATATACGAATCTCCATGAATTCATGAAAAGGGTCTCTTTTGATAGTTTGTTTAAATTGGCATCCAAATATGGTCATTTTATCNGACACCTAAGAAAATTAACAATAATTATATAATACCATGCAATGCCCATATAATATACAAATCTCCATGAATTCATGAAAAGGATCTCTTTTGATAGTTTGTTTAAATTGGCATCCAAATATGGTCATTTTATCTCTTATGCCTCTTCTAATTTACACCTCCACCCCCTACCCTACCTGCCTCTCCTTGCATCTTATTTGTTGAAAGCGCCAGATCGTTTGCCTGGAGACTCCCACCATCTGTGTTTTACTAAATGAATCCCATTGGATCCTCTGTGATTCACAGTGCTTAGGTCTAGAGCTGAGCTGCCCGACATAGTAGCTACTAGCCACAGGTAGCTATTTAAATTAAAATAAAATTTAAAATTCTGTTTCTCAGTTACACTGGCCACATTTCAGGTGCTCAGTAGCCATGTGTGACTAGTGGCTACCGTATGGGACAGCATAGATATAGAACATTTCCACAGTGCAGGAAACTCTATTAGATGACACTAGAGGCTTAATCAAGTCCCATGAGGCAGCTTTGGAGGGAAGAGATCCTGAAATCTTATCCACCCAGTATTTGGCCCACAGTTGGTCTTCTGCTCTGTAGTCACTTTGACCTCCACTCCTGGACACTGGAAATGAAATAAAAATTCAAGGGATCTCTGTGTTTTTTAATTGTGTAAATGGTATACTTACAAATACTTTCATTTGGGTTTGTTTTTTTTTTTTATTTAACCTTTTTGTTTAGATTTAACCATGTCAATATATTTATTTGTGGCTTATTTCTTGTAACAGAAGTGAAATATTCCATTGTTTGACAGTATCAGAGTTGGTCGAGTATCCTTTTAGTTAACATTTAGATTGTTTTCAGTCTTCAGAGCCTCAAGGACCATCCTTGTACATCCTTGGCCTCCTGTTACAAAAACATAAAGGAGGCACCCTGGACGTGGACTCGCTGGGGCATTGAGCACGCCCATCTTCAACTCTAGTAGCTATTGCCCAGTCACTCTGCAAAATAATTATAGCAATTGACCCTCCCGCCAACAGCGTACAAGTGTTCCCACTTCCTTACAGCATTAGCAACATTAGGTAGTTTCAGACTCAGTTTCTACCAAGATGAGTTCATGCAGTAAAAGTATGAATAAGGCATGGAAAGAGAAGAGAATGGAATTGGGAGAGGAACCCAGACTTAGCTGAGTCTGTAAAAAAATAAAGCACAATAGCACAAAGTTAACATTCATTAAATGTGAATGGTGGTTGTGAAAGAGTTGGTTATGATATTTTTAGTACTGTTTGGTAGGTTTACACTACTCAGAATTAATTTTTATTTCATAATCATTTTTCAGTGCAAAGGCTTAAAATATGCAGCATATAACAAATTATTGAATATAGTATTATCTGCTAGTTCCTTTGTTTGTTTTGGGCATTTCATGCTAAAAAGCAGACACAGAGAGATAATCCGTTGGTTATCATTGCCCCAAATGACCTCCAGCTCATGGATTTTTTTCATTCAAGCTTTACTTGGTCAAATATTGCCAACTAATTGCCCAAAATGATTTGCTTTGTGCATGTGTGCTGTATTATGTATCACATATCATTCCTTCCTCTATGGGTGATGTAAACTAAAGAGAGGGTAAAGTGAAATGGCATCTGTATTTGAAATAACACCAGAAGTTCTATGGAGCTTTTCTGACTAGTTTTCATTTACTCGTGAACTACGTGGACAAGGTAAATTGCTTGGCTCTGATGCGGAGGCCTGCTAACTTACTCTCGCTGCATTTGCAATGGTTGTTTTAAAATCCAAACGAGAACTCTTTTAGACAGGAATGTGACTCTAAGGCGGCAATGATGACTGTGACTCACGAGTCCAAAAACAATTTTTCAGTCCTGCCCGTGCATGAGACACCATGTTATGCTCCATAAGGGCCATAAGATTAGTAAAAGTTAGGCCCCTCTTGCAATCAAGAAACCTTTTCCTTGTACAACACTAACTACAGAAAAAATTGTATTTTTGTAGTCAGAAGCTCACTCTGGCTTTGTTCTATTTTGATGTTTATAATTTATTTTAAAGATTGTTCAGTCATTATTCATTGCTCAGTAAGTCTTGCAACGATCTTTGGCCAAAAGCAGTACCATTTTGACCTGTCCTGTGGAACTCAGAGCTTCCCTCCACAAAGCTGGTGATGTAAATAACTTCACATGAAACCCCTTTGGAGACCTGTGTTTGGCACACCATGAGAGAGAAATGGGGTGAAACGGGAAAGATTGAAGTGGGCGTGCCCAGGAATAAGTGAGAGTGGTAGCGATGCTTTCAGCATCTTTTCCTCGTTTCCCTTAAGACATTTATTCCACTTCTCTGTGCGGATAACACAACAAACCGTGATGCTAAAATGAAGCATTTCCTTTCGGGCCTGTGACATTTAATAGGGTCAACATTTTCTACCCTACATCTGGGCTTCTTTGAGATTGAGCATGTAGGGGAAATTACAGCAGCAAGAAACTAAGTGAAGACACACTTCGTAAGTTTATAAATGGCCAGAGGGCGTGGCCAGTGTGGACATGGGGCCGCAGAGTACGTGTGAATGCCTGTGTGTGTGTGTGTGTGTGTATACACATGAATGTGCACGTGTGTCTTGTGAACAGCACAAGAGAAAGAACGCCTGAAAGCTCTGCTCCGTCTTGAAGTTATTCACACTTTATTGTGTCTGAACTTCAAAATGAAGCAGTTCAGAAGGCTCTTTAGTGGCGGCAGCACAGGACTTCCTGAAACCAGAAGTTTGGCTCATAAACTAGAGGAGCATCTGGCCAGCAGGACGGGAAAAGAGTTCTTTGCAGACAATAGCCTGGGACGGGGAGTGTCAGTGATTCAGAAACACCTGGCTGATATTTCCCTTCAGGTTCCCAGAGGATAAACTAGTTAAGAAGGACCTGGTCAAGTGGACATCATCAGGCAACTTGACAAGTCCAGAAATTTGGG